TGTCACATATTGCAAAGTGTCCGTCGCGAAAAACACAAAGACTCCACTCTCACTGTAACCAAGTTCCCCATAAGTGTATGGGGTTTTTCTTTTTAACAGCTGAAACGTTCGAACGAACACGCTTTTCACCATACGTATCCCGTGCAGCATTCACTAGCACGTGCGAAATGCCACTGGCAATCTCATATATTCTTATAGCGAGGCACAGATTACACATTCACTTATAAGGAAACTTATCCTTCTCTGAAAACACACGCAGCTCCCTCGGATAGCACCATGCATGTATGGATTTAGGTTTCCAAATTCATAGAATACTGTAGATAGATAGAAAGATACCATCTTACTTTATCCATCATGGCGATTTATTCACTTCCAAAACAAAAGAGAGGATTAAAACAATATTCGCCTGCCTTAAGTTTATATAGAGCCTCTGAATTTACGTTGGAACTGACTATGGTAGTATTGGGGGTGGCGTATGTCGGGGCTTGGATTATTTGTACGCGTTAAAACATACTGATATGGATCATAATGTAACTTTACAGTAATCAGATTATTGTAAAAATGGCTCGAGATATACCCTCGCACCCCACCCATCATCACCCACCATGAACATGAACAGCTGGGAGTGAACCCACACGTTTAGCATTTGTTTGTCACAGGGGCGGATCCAGAGGGGGATCTCCCCGAAACAAATTTCCCCGAGAAGCATCCCCACCTTTCGACTTCATGATTTATGTGCACTCCTCTTCTCCAAAGTTCTGGATCCGTACCTGTGTCATATGAAATACTTATGTCGGTATTTCATATCAAAGATATACAGTGGACCCCCTCCAAACCGACATCCCTCTAATCCGACATTCCCTATAAACTGACATCTTTGTTTGGTCCCGAGTTTGTCCCTGTATAATATCAGATAAGAAGCTCCCTCTAATTCAACATCCCTCCACTCCAAATTCCGACACTACAATCCGGTCCCAAAACATGTTTTAGTTGAGTGGAACAAGTTAGATAATAATATAAGAAACATAGATTCCGTTGCCATGTTCAAGAAACACTTTGATCGAACTGTCTCATCCAATGTACATCATGTCTTCAGAAACACTGGAACTAGATTTAACCAAATAATTCATTGTAAGTTAAGACTTGGCTATAGTGACTTAAATGCACATAAATTTGACCGTTTTCTTCAAAATACGTCTACATGCTCTTGTGGCCCCTTTTATGAAGATTTCCATTTATCTGTCCAAATTTTACTACAATTCGATCGAAGTGTTTCTATTGCACAAATGGTTTTAATATTCAATCTGTATTATGTGGAAGTTACTCATATTCTGACGAAATCAATGAAAATATTTTAAGAGCTGTACATGACTATTTTACCTTAACAAAACGATTTTTACCTAATTGATTAATTATACTATTGTCGCTTTCATTTAGTCTTTTACTCTTCAAATGGTGTGTGACCCGTGAAGATCCGGGGTAGAATAGGTCTTCAGCAACCCATGTGCTTGCCATAAAAGGCGACTATGCTTGTCGTAAGAGGCGACTAACGGGATCGGGTGGTCAGTTTCGCTGACTTGGTTGACACATGTCATCGGTTCCCAATTGCGCAGATCGATGCTCATGCTGTTGATAACTGGATTGTCTGGTTCAGACTCGATTATTTACAGACCGCCGCCATATAGCTGGAATATTGCTGAGTGCGGCGTAAAACGAAACTCACTCACTCAAATGGTGTGTTCTCTTGTCTGTAATGATGAATGTATGTAAAATGTTTCCCATCGCATTGTATTCGGAGAGGTATTTATATAGGCTTATAGCCTGTTTACCAATCCGTTGATTTCATAATGAATAAATATAGTTTAAACTATGTTTTAGTGCAAACTGACTCTCTCTAAACCGACATTGTTATTTCACAAGAGATGGCATCAGCCAACACATGGTGTGTATTTAACACACAGGCTTAGGCGAGAGGTGGCCTGCCAAGGCATAATAGGATTAACTGTTAATTCCTTGCTAATTACTTGTTCAATGGATTCATAGATTGGTGAAATTACATGTTAAGTGCTTGTTCTGATTCAATGACATTAACATGGACATTGAGATTATCTCAGTTTAGCATGAGTATTGCTTGTCGGAAAATGAAGAAAGTCTCAGGGCCACTTTTTATTATATATTTTTTGTTCACTATGAGCCTTTTTTTCAGTAAAATATGTTCATTTCAGACTAGTTGTTAGTCTAGAGTATTGCCAGTCAGTGTAACTTAGACATGATATTACATTAAAGGTGATGTGAAATTGGGTTTAACGTCGCGCTGGAGAATATAGTTGGTTTTATAGTGCTAGCCCACTGAGATACCATGCCGCAGTGAAGCACGAATACCCAACTCAGACACATTATACTGACTCCGAGTCGACCAGTCCTTGTTGTACCCAGTAATGCCGAGCGCCAGGCAGGGACCAACAAGCATATTACATTATAATAAGAAGTCATGGTCAGTTACTGCAATAAAAGTCCCAATGGCCACCCTGTCTCCTAAGAGAGCAAGGACTGAGTTTACTCTAGATAAATTCCTCAAATTAGCTTCCGGTTTGAAAAATAGCACCCCAAAGTGTATGCTTTACGGTGAATTTGGAAGAGAGCCGTTGAATATCAAAATCTATAAGCGATTTATATTACATTGACATAAATTAGCCTCTGAGAATACATATTGGAAGCCATCCCAGATTATATATTACTGTGTTAACCACATCTGTGACAATACAAGTAAAACCTCATGGTTACATTTTGTGAAACATATCCTTGATAACTGCGGTCTATCCTACAAGTTTCTAAATCCGTCTGTATGCTCGACGCCTTGGCTTGTCTCAATGGTTGAAAATGCCTACAGATCCCAGTTTTTCCAAAATCGGAAGTCTAATGTTGATTCAAGTTCCAAGGTTGATTATTACAAATATTTCAAAACCCAACCAATCTTAGAAAAATATCTTCTTCTTCCAAAACGCATGTATTACCCAATTTTGAGGTTCAGAATAACTAACCAGACAGGCCAATGGTTGAGCATTCCACGTGAAAACCGACAATGTCCACTTTGTGTTTCAAACGCTGTCGAAAAAATATGTCCATCTTTAAGAAACTTTCATCTACAACCAGTATACGATCTTAAGATCAGCTAAGCTAAACTTTATTGTCCCGGAGACGTTGAGCGCGATGGTGACGACGTAGCATGGTCCCGACGTCGGGTCTCTTGGCTGTCCGACCAATCTCTTTCAACCTGTTTCGTACAGTTTGTACAGTCCGGAGTCCAGGCACCCTGGCTGCTGTGCTCTCACCCGTGGCAGTACGATCATGCCATGTAGTACCCGGATGTACCGATCTTGGGCTGCAGTGGTGACTCGAGGTCTGCCTGTACGGGGACGGTCATTTGTTATACCTGTTTGGTTGTAACGAGCTGCAAGCCGTGATATCGTGCTCAGACTAACATTCACACGCCTGGCAACAGAAGATTGGTAATCTCCCGCGTGTATTCTTTCAATGGCGAAGTTCTGTGTCGCAGAGTCAAGACGTGGTGTAGTGATGTGACCTTGAAACTCCTTCAAAACGAATGCCAATAATTCCGAAAGTAATCTGGATTTTTATAGCCAGACAGTGCATTCTCTTTGCTGCACAATTTCAATTTGAAGGTGATTTCTGTTGCATTGTGGCGATGCCTTTTTAATCCTTGTAAGAAATCTCATCAAAATCAACATTTTCAGGTAAAATCGATTTTCTTTACTTGTGCAATTCTGTAAAATCACGCTATCAACACTTTTGTTACATATTTTGACGATTGTTTGAACACAATAGGGAATTAATAGATTTTTGGTGTGGTGTAATTACCTTCTTGTTCTAAACAACATCGGATCCGTGAAGATCCGGGTTAGATAAGACAAAATCTCATTAAGAAAGCATTTACATGGAAGGTCAATAATACTACTCAGTCGCACCCGTGAAGATCCGGGTTAGAATTGATCTTTAGTAACTCATGCTTGTTGTAAGAGGCGACAAACGGGATTGGATGGTCAGGCTCGCTGACTTGGTTGACACATGTCATCGTACCCCAAATGCGGAGATCGATGCTCATGCAGTTGATTACTGGATTGTCTGGTCATATACCTTTAATACTGCTAAATGCGACGTAAAACTAAACTCACTCACTCATTCTAAAACAACATCCACATACCATAGTGCTAAATGAATATGTGATAATAAACTTGATGTTCTTACTTGATGGATCATTACCACATTCAATTTGAAGATAAGATTTACGTATGATTTCAGATGAATCGTCCATATCGTCAGAATCGTCTTTTCCTAATACTGTGTGGGATATCCGTGATCATTTGTATCTTCTACCTTTGTGCATTTCCATCACATACCGGGAGGTACAGGTTTCCTCTTTTCGATGATATAGAAGTGCGTCAATTGTCAGCTGTAAAGGAACATACGACGGTGAATTCTAGATCTCCTGAATGGGTAAAACACTCAGGATTAGACAAGGGAAAGAGTAACAACGTGCCCAATATACATCTGAATCCTAAAAGTGATCAGACACACCTATCGTCCGACGCCAAATCCTATCCACTCTCACAGCATACTTCATCTCGGCTTGTCTTTAAAGAAGCCATCACAGAGTACTGGACTCCAACTGATGCGGTCAATATGGATCTCCCTTTCACAAACAAGTCCTTGACACATTACACTGGAAATGGAACAAAGCTTATTGTAATTGAGCATTGTCCGAAATGGTTGGAATGGGCACTAAAAGGTTCTATGCAACTATGTAGATACAGCAACTGTTTGTTGTCGACGAATGGCTCATTGAGGACATACGCAGACGCTGTGCTCTTTAATGGACGATCAATGTCCCCCAAACCTCCACCCCGAACACCGGGGCAAGTGTGGGTGATTTATGCCTGGGAAAGTCCTTGTCATCTTCAAAAAACAATGTACAGACCAGAATGGAGAAGAGAATTAAATTGGACAATGACATACAGAACAAACGCCGACCTCTTCGCGCCCGTGGGGATGTTTGTACCAGTTCTGAAACCGCGCTCCTATCATCATCTTCTAAATATCGTGCAGCACAAGACGAAGACGGTTGCATGGTTTGTGAGCCATTGTCCAACAGCTTCTAGACGAATGGCATATGTCAAAAGGCTTCAGAAAGTAATTGACGTTGATATTTTTGGAAATTGTGGATCACTGACATGCTCAAGATCAGATGCAGAATGCCTAAACATGCTAAACCATACATACATGTTTTATTTGTCATTTGAGAACTCCTTGTGTAAAGACTACATTACGGAAAAGCTGTACAAGAGTTTCAACGTATCCTGTGTCCCTGTAGTCCGAGGAGGTGCTGACTACAAACACCTTGTACCGAATGGGACGTATATCGACACAGCTGATTTTGCCAGCCCGGAGGCGCTTGGATGGCATCTAAAGGGGCTCATATCCAACACATCAGCTTACATGGACATCCTCATGCACAAGGAACAGTACCGGGCCCTCAACTCAAAACAAGGAAAACTCATGGCGTTGTGTGAATTTTGTTATCGACTTAATAACCCGGGAACACGGAGGAGCACATCGGCAGGTATAGAGAAATGGAATGAAGAATGCCATGCTCCTACAGACCTTGGGTAGATGATGTAAAAATGAATGTTAGAAAACAGAAAGGAATGGTATGTATTTGTCAGGTCTTAAAATATTGTCCTTGGATTTACTGTTTTTATTGATAATTTTTGGGACTGTAAAGGAGAGGATTTGATGAGGGAGATGTTGGTCTATGCATAACTTAGTAAAGTAGTAAAGCTGTCAGACGTATTCTTGAAGTAGACAAGTATACTTTGTTTATCACTTACATGTTGTGGAAATATACAGACAACACGCCCTACGTTATGCCAAACGTGCCACTGGTACAGTGTTCGCGTTAACGCAAAAACCTGCGTGTTTCACACAAATAAATTAGTAATAGTACATCATCATATAAGTATTCCATGAAAGACCACAATAGGTTTAGTAAGCTTACATATAACAGGCAGTTTGTATCGAATACATACCTATATGCATACAAACCAGCTTCCAAGTCACAGTCATCATGGAAGTGTACAGTAATCATTATCTGAGTAATGATAATATCTGATTAGTAGTAGTACATCATCATATAATTATTCCATGTAAGACCACAGTATGTCTAAGTAAGCTTACATATAACAGGCAATTTGTATCTAATCCATACTTATATACATACAAACCAGCTTCCAAGTCACAGTCATCATGGAAGTGTACAGTAGTCATTATCAGAGTAATGGTAATATACTAAGCAGCAAAAGAAACGTCAGTTTGGAATTTTCCGTCGCAGAAACGGATAACTGTAAACTCATTTAATGTTTTGATTGTATATTTTTGACAACATCTTCAACTTTACCTGAGCAAAGACATTCCTTCTGAAACTCAGAATGGAACCCAATGGATGGTCTCAAAAATGCAACCTGATCTCGGAGATGGTACGGTGTTTTCCATGTTTTTCATGCAACTCATGCTGCACGTGCTGTTCACAAGGACCAGCCCTATAAAATGCACCCCCATACCTGGTTGAAACATTCACATTACAACGCCACGATGCCGCGACTCACGACAGCTCAGAGGAACAAGGCACTAGGAAGACTTGAAACTGGCCACACTGCACAAGCCGTTGACAATCACTTCCAGGTCAACGTTCGGATCATCTACAGGCTGCAGCAACGTTTCCGGGCCAACAACACCAAAAAATGATCGCCCCCGTACTGGCAGACCAAGGCTGACCACAAGACGACAAGACCGCCATGTTGTGCAACAGCATGTACAGAATCCCTTCATGCATGCATCCGAAACAGCACGCCAGACAGTGGGAACACACGGAAGACCAATCAATACTGATTCAGTACGCCGACGTCTTAACAACGGCAACCTCCATTGCCGTAGACCTTACCGTGGGTCTATTCTCACCCCTCGTCTTCGGCGTGAACGTCTACAATTTGCCCTACAACACCAAAACTGGCGATACAGGCAATGGAGAACTGTTCTGTTCACAGATGAGAGTCGGTACTGCGTACCAACTGCAGATGGCAGAACAAGAATATGGCGACGACGTGGCCAGCGTTACTCAGACCAAAGTGTTATGGAAAGAGAGGTTCAAGCATTATGGTATGGGTTGGAATAGGTCTGAACCAGAAAGTGGGTCCTGTGGTGTTCCGGAACCTTGGTCCAAGGAGAGGAGGCGGCATCACAGCGGTGCGCTACATCGACCAAGCTCTCAGACCCCACGTCATACCACATTTCGCACGTCACCGGAACAACATTTTCCAGCATGATAATGCCCGGGCCCATACTGCCAGAGCTACACGGGACTTCCTACAGCAGAACGGTGTCCACATTATGCAGTGGCCAGCCCTTAGTCCTGATTTAAACCCAATTGAACATCTTTTGGATGAAATTCAGTGGAGACTAAATTAATGTCATACCAAGGCCGAACATAGCCGATTTATTGCGCCAGGCCTTTCTCAGAGTGTGGTTCCAGGTGCCAATGGCCTTCATCAATCGATTGGCGCACTCCATGCATAGACGCTGCGCTGCAGTTATTGCCGCTCGTGGTGCTAACATTAGATACTGAAGTCAAGAGTCTGAATGGACTGCAAGCGTTCACGTAATGTCTTGAAATTGTGCTGAGTTATTCATTGATGTGTCAAAATATTGTACACAAAAAATGTATTTGATCCGCTTATTATGCCTATTTCTGTAATGATTTTATTACAGTGCCTATCTAATTTTGAATTCGCACTGACGGGTTTTTTTTGCTGCTGAGTATATCTGATTAATAATAGTGCAACGTCATTCCATGTGAAGCCACTATGAATTTGGGTAAACTTTGCCTGTTGCATATTATTGTGCTAGGAGAGTGTGGAGGGATGACCAAAATGTAAAATAATTAGCTTGGTCAGCGTGTGCAAAGGCAATAAATTTACATTATTTGTAGCATCTTTTGATCTCATTTTTGATCTGATGAAAGTTTGGTTTAACATCTTTTCTACTCGTAGTGTAAATATTCTTCTTCACTATTAGGCAGGTAATGTTTAGAAGGTTGTTATTTTTTCCCTTAAAACCAAATAATATATTTTCTAGTGTTAATTCAAATTGTTGCACCAGGAAGTTGATATTGGGCATGAAGTGTGTAGCAGGGCCTTGGATAAAGCGTCAGTCTTTGGATGAGAAGGTCCCTGGTAAGAATACCAGCGCGGGACCCACAATATTCATTCATGGTACAAGTGTTTGGGACAGCTCCACAATTAAAAATAATCCAATGATGAACAATGCCTGGTGTGTAGTGTCCGTTTCTGAGCTAAACCTGATTACAAGTGTTCTCACCGTTCGTGCTACTGTTTGAACTAAACTAAAAATATCCCTTTATATTCCTACATGTGCACGTAAACGAGGCAACACATGCTCACACGATGCGAATGGAACTGCGATGAGTACCTGAAATGACACTACGTGAAAATGAATGAATGTTGCAATATATTGTTTTTGGCTTTCAAACAAAACACGAGTGAAAATGAACCTTATTTCTCAATACAAATCGAACTCAGTATGTTTACAAACAGTCCTTTCTTTATATTCCTACATGTAAATAAAAATGAGGTACGAAAGACATGTGTTCACGAGACGAGTGACAATGCATGTTATGGGTTTTTTGTTATGACTGTGACACACTGGCAAATGATACCTTGGGACCAAAATGAAAAAGCCATAGTGCAAATCGAGTGATGCCTTTTAATTGTTTGCTGAATTAGTTTGTAGGGTTCAGACACTTGCATTCAGTCTCTGGTCAACTTCTCACGTTAACATAGGCCATATAGTTCATCTTTTTGATGAGGTCATCCAGACAGGGATTGACCTTCTCTAGAAGAACGGGGTTATACGTATAGGGACTCCAGATTCAGAATAGTGACAAGAGAACCATGTCGCTTTTAGTGATGATACTTCCCAGTCATTAATTCGAACGCTTACTAAGAGAAAGATATAACATATGATATACATTGTATGTAGGAATCAATAAAGTTGTAAGGATTCAAAAAGATTGTCTCATTTTCTGACTGAACTTGTCAAAGTATTGTTTTTATTATGTTTTTAACAAATAATTGTTTACATTTATTTAAGGTGCTCGACAGGGTAGCTGTGTCAAGTTCGAATGTTTATTCCATGAATAGTATAGAATTGGGATCATTTTGTAATTTGCAGAGTATACATATACAACAAGCATTAGGAACAGCTTCTGACAGAAGTCGGGAATTTAACCTATCTTTGGCCCAATAATCAGTGCCTACTGTTCAGGTATATGCTTAGTCTGTGAAAGTATATAATTTGATAGCAACAAACAGCCGCATTTTGGTTGAAAAGGAGTCCCAGTAAGAACAGATTTTCAGAAAAAGGCAAAATCTAGACTTGCTGTATTGAGAACTCGAGCATTTGGATAGTGGTATCTTTCATTTTGAATTATATTAGTCTTGCTGTGTGCAGATGGCCTGTGTTTGTTTTCATATGGTGTTAAGGTGACAAGACAGAAGTTTTAGGTTTTCGAAATGGTAGGAAATTTTGGAAAAGTGAAGTTTTTTTAGGGTCAAAGGTTGAATATTTCAACGTATTACAACTACATTTTTTTGTATTTAGGATTGTTATATTCCAGTAAGCTTTTGTGATCCAAGTCTGTTCAAATTCTTGTCAATAATACTTTATCCTCAGTTAAACTTCTTACTTATAAACTAAGAAATGCCTCTCAAATAGTCCTCTTTAAAATGTTTTGATGTTTTTATTAAGTCAATTATATCATGCATCACAAATATGGGGTTATCAAAAGAAGTTTATTGTTGAACAATTTCATGTAAGGTTTGGCAAGTTTGTATTGGGTTTGAGTTATATAGGTACTGATGTTGCTGTTTTAGCAAAATGTGGTAGACATTGTATTTATGTTGATTCGTTGTTGAGAGTAATTTAACACTTCAAAATTCCTGGATCCGCCTGTGCTATGTTATGCAAAAGCGGGTAATTTTTTCAGTAAACATTAGCTGCTGGATGCAAAATGACACTGATTAATCAATATCGGTTGATAAGATTTAATCATGGACCAGGGCCTAGATTTTCGAAGCTCTCTTAGCGCTAAGTTAGTCGTAAGTGCCATGCATTAACATTAACTTACGACTAGATTAGCTCTAAGAGAGCTTCGAAAATCTAGGCCCAGGACTGTATTATTTATAACGGGGAGTGAAAGGGCCTATGTGTCGTTGAAGGTCTTTGCACTTATACTAAAACGTGCATGCCACCGACCTTCCGCTCTCCCGATAGACACCCATCAGTGAATAAGGGGGATTTTATACATAATGCGTGCACCCTTAATTCCTTTTCTAGAAGAGTATGTTATTATTGAAGTCTGCATACAAACCATGCTATCTTAATCACGAAGCTATTTGTACGCTGTTCACATTTTATATACCAAATGCATGTTGACAATCTTCGATATTAAAGAAGAAAGGAATAATAATGATCAGCCGTTGTAAATTGCTCAAGCCTTCAATACAGTTGATATGGACGTTAAGTGGTATTTGAGTAGA